ATATTTATTATATTTATTATATTTATTATATTTATTATATTTATTATATTTTTCTCAGCTTTAAATAATTTTCTATCAAATTGCAATACCCAAATCTATTCCAGAAAGCCAGAACACAACTATTAATTTTCTAAAAAATATAAATTTTCTAACAATTATTGATTATTCCTTGTATTTATCATTTATTATTTTTGACAGAGATGAGGAAATGTTGCCACATTCATCAGTTTTTCTTTGAGTTTACAGGCCCAATATTTTCCCCTGAAGTTCTCACCATATTTCTATATCTTTTGAAGATGTTATTTTCTTAACAAACTTTCTCTCAGGTGGGAAGCTATCTAACATTCAAGATAATTTTGCTTTCTATTAAGCATTTACAAAGTTGAAATCGAGTCATTCTGTGTTATAAACATTTGGCAACTATATTGCCTCTTTGGCTTAAAGTTCTAGAACTGCAATTATTTTCTGCAGACTGATATTTCAGTACATGGTGATTTTAATTTGAGAAAGTATGCAAAGATATGTTGTTTCCTAATTTTCAAAGGGCTACATTCAACTCTTAAATGAAACAAACAAATGAAGAAAAGGAATAAAGAAAGGTCAGGAAAGAAAAGTTATTACGTATAAAACAATAAACAAAGAACTAGATAGTAGTCTGACCCAAAAAAAGAAACAAAAAACCGCCTTTGTTCTTAGAAAAAAGGTAGGTTAGCACTGCCAGCATTTCTTCTGACAATGAGACTCAAAGTCCCTGTGGCTGCAGAGGATGCTTCCAAGAGCTGCTAAACATCACTAGTTAATTTAGTTCCATCTCTCTGAAATACTGTATTCATCTAGAAGTGTTCATTGTCAGGGCTATTTTGTTTAAAAATAAGACACCTGTCCTATTTAAACGCATTTGCTGCAAGCCAGCTGAAGCCAGTACCGGTGCATAGAAGGTGGTGTGCTGTTGGGATCATTTGTTTGATCTTTGGTGCTAGAAGAGATGGAGCTTTGAACACAGCCGTCACTGACAGTGATGACTGAAATCGACAATGAATAGCCTTTGCCTTAGTAGAGTCCCAGTATTTAATTGCAGTAGAAACAAAACAGCTGAAAACTTCACCTGGCTACAGTTCCAAGTCAAATATAATTCTCTGGTGATTGGTCATGTGGAACATAGAATCTGCAAAATATAACTCTTCTAGGAACTTAGTGTGACCACTACAAAGGATGATAGAAGAACAGTGAGACTTTTTCTGTGTCCTCCAAAATAAGAGAAACAGATGTAATTACATATATATAATACATATATAATAATGTACAGTATACATATACACTACATATATAATAATATATATCTAAATTATAGAGATATATACTGTATTGTAGTTAATCTTATTAATATTTCTCTTAACACTGATATAATCATAGGGATTTAAAAAAAAGAGTTCAATTCCAACAATCTTCTTTGCAAGCAGTTTTCATTTGTTTTGATATATAACTCCAGAAGTGAAAACACTTTCCAGGGCAAGAAATCATTATAATAACAACGTAAAGGAAATTAGAGATCTTGGCATTTTGTATGATAATTTTCATAATAAAATTATGTTTAATACCATAATTACACAAATGTAATTATTATGATTATGAATATGACTTTTTTATTTCACATTATTACAATATGACTGCACAGTCATGAATGGACTTTCAGGTTGCTCCCATCTCAATCAGTGGTTTCCTGGGGCATGGAGCCAGGTTAGCTGCTAGCTGGCCCTGAAAAGCAAGGTTGCAGTTTTCCTCCTCCTCATTTTGCGCTTCTGGTGCTCACCTTTCTCCCCAAAGGAAGCTGATTCACTCTCTGTTTTTCCCCTGGGTGAGTTGCTGAGGGCAAGAAAAAACAGAAATTGAATTCATATCGTGTCATACACATCATATATCATTCAATTATTTTAATACATACATGTATAGTCTATAGATTAATTTAAATTTAATATTAAAATCGTGGTTAAATCATAAGAGTTTGGTACAATGATAGCTCTCCAGAGATCAGTATGTGCTGCATTATCTGCAGAATTTTAGCTTTAATTAATATTTATAAAGGAATTTGGGCATAATGAACTACAACACCATGGCAAATGAACTCAAGGGCATCAATTTTAAGGTCATTTTATTATGGTTTAAATCCTTATGTCTTTATGAACTATCACTGAAACCTTGCTGAGTAACTAGCACATTTATGATTTGGCCTACTGAAATTTCCAAAAGTTTCCAGGGATTGTACTGAAAAGTGGGCAAGAATTGCAGAATCTGTGAAATTACACATCTTCTCCTGGTGCACAGATAGACCAGGACACAGGCAGCTGAGATTGGAAAAGGGTCAGGTGGCAAGAATACCTGATCTGTATATGCATACTTTGTGCCCATGGTCTGACCAGAGTCTGGCCAACAAAAAGAAATATTTGATGAAACTAAAAATGTGTGACATAAAAGACAGCTTTTCTGAGAGCAGAAAAAGTATTTTGAACATGAATAGTTTGTGTTGCAATTGTTTAGGGTTCATTTCTTCTCATTCTGCCCTGGTTTTCAGTAAAGAAAGTCTTTAACAAGAAAGTCTATGAGACTAAATTTTTTCATGAAAATCTCCTTTGCCAGTGTACCAGAAAAAAACTACAAATCGTGAGAGGTAGAACAAGGGCAATGTTTTTGTGCATGCTTTCGAATAAGCATTGGATATTTTATAGTATATCCTAAAATAGTGCAAATGTTCAAGTGATGACTGAAAAGTATTCACTTAAAATGCAAACATAAATAGCATTTTAACTCAGGCATGCAGTAACACTGTTGAATGACTCTATAATGATTTTTCTATTAATTCAGAAATGGATGTGGGCAAATAATCAGTACTTGAGCTTGAAATAAAATTCAGAATAACTATTGCCTGCTACATTCTCTTACGAAGCACAACAATTAAGAGATTCATAGCATGCTTTCTGATGTAATATAGCTTTTCAGAGAAACACACATATTTACTGCAAAATACCTTAATAGTGTGACCAAGATTAACTAAACCTTTACAGCCATTCCTTTCACCCACAGAAGAACTGAAAATTGTTCTATTCTAAGCATTATTCATAGCATCTGGTCCGTAAATGGAGGCATGAATATTCCCAGGAATATCATGCCATCAGTTGGAATTGTAAACTCAAGCTTAATTACAAGTTCTGTCTGGTCTAATCTTTACTACCAGGTTGAGTATAGTATCTCTGATAGTATCACTTTAAATAAACCTGTAAGTGTGACACTTTTATGGTTAATACTGTTACAAACCTTAGTGCAAAGGCTCAATTATGAGTAAAAATAATTCAATTGTAAGGAGATGAACAATTACTCTTCATTAATTGTTTCTAAATTTGTAAGAAGTTTATATTTCAGTAACTATATTTATCAAATGCAAACTTCGTGAACCATGGGTAGAAGACAGCACACTTCCTAGTGGGCTATGATATGGAATGTCTACAAGTGAGCACTCCTGAAATTTGAGTCATCTTTTACCATTTTTGTAATTCCTAAATAATTCATGGAATCTGTATATGACATCAGCATAAAAGATGTACTGTTAAAAATGGGAGGTAGGAAGCATTTCACTGGCACTTGTTTAAAACACTTATTATCTGATGGAGGAGAATATTATAAAATAAGATTTTGTACCTTTAGAGCACCAAGGGCAAATATCATTTAAGCAGCTGATAATCACCAAAATGAGCAGTCTAGTAGTCAGTCTGACAAAAACACATTCCTCTCCCTCCCCCATCATGCTGTAGCTTTCAGGAAGGTGATAACTATTGCTGTAGCTGGACTTTATTCTTTTGGATTATGAGAATACGAGTAAAAAGAGGCCATAGAGGAAAAATTAGGACCTTCCAGGTGTTAAAACGGTGGTAATTACAGGACTCAAAATAGTGGTAATTTTTAGCTGTATAAAAGAGTTTCCATTATTCTCTGCCAAATATTGCACCTTGCTTAAGAATAAAAATAGCGATTTTTTTGCTATAAGAGCCCAAGTATGCCTTCTCCCTCAGTCGCTCTGGACTTAATTGAGCATAACGATTACATATGACAACCAGCAGGAAATCTGTCAACTGTTCAGGAGCTCAGAGCTGGAGGGGGAGGATGATGGGTCATGTTCCTGTTGAGAAGGCAACAAATATAATGGCCTCTTCCTTCAAGGCTAGTTTAAAACTGTTTTGCTGGTTGTTTTCTTGTCTGATTGAAAGAAATCTAAGGGGAAATTGAGTTACAAAGTCTAGTTCATGTCTGGAAAAGTCAGAGCTTTCTGACTGAGGTAGCTTTAGGAACAAAGTGGGTTCCTCAAAATACCCTTTTTCATGCATTTTTAATAGGAAACTGAGTCCTGTCTGATTCAGCTTTTGGGTGTCTGG